AGAGAGAGAGAGAGAGAGAGAGAGAGAGAGAGAGAGAGAGAGAGATGAAGTGATATGAAAAGAGAGTGGGGTGGGGTGGGGAGGAGAGCTTCAAGGACTCAGAGTCAGAGAGGAGGTGCAGGGTAAGACAGACAGATAGACACACACACACACACACACACACACACACACACACACACGACGACGCTGCGGCAGCTACAGCCACAGTGAGAGACTTGGTGCCTTAGAGACAAGGAAACAGAGAAAGCTGCAGCCACTGAGCCACAGAGGGACAGAGACTGGCATACACATTCCCAGATTGAGACCGCTCCTGTAGACGGGACCCTAGCTGATACGCGTGCACAGCCAGGAGCCCAGTCTAGCTCACACGTGGGTAACAGAAGAGACAGACACACCCAAGTGCTCCCCTTCCCCCAACCCCAACACATTGATCAGGATGGAAACATTGGTTGCTGGAGGGGGGGTTCGGGGGGGGAGTGGGGGAAGGGCAGGTAAACAGAGACCGACGCCCATTCAGAGCAGAGTGATCCAGGCATGTGAGCGCATAGGCAAAAACCTGCCAACGCTCACAGAGCCCCAGAAAACCACAGAATCCAGACCCTCGTGATGCTGAGGAGGGAAGGCTAGACTTGGAACCTAAGAGGCCTGGATTCAAATCCTGCCTCGGACACTTACGAGTTGTGTGATCCTGGCCAAGACACATAAGCACTCTGAGCCTCACCTGTAAAATGGGACTAATAATACCTGTAATGCCAGTCTCCTGGGACTGTTGTGAAACTCCAATGAGAGAAATCAGTGAGAAGTCAGCAAGCATTTATTAGGCGCCTACTTTTTCTCCAAACCTGTTTGTGCCCCTCAGCACACATATAGGCTCCCCCACATTCCACACCCTGAAGGGATACAAGACAAACCACAATGAGACCCTACCTTCAAGGGACTTACATTCTTCTGAGAGGAAGACCTGAGTTCAAATCTAGTCTCAAACACTTACTGGCTGTGTCACCTTGGACAAGTCCCTTTACCTGTCTGCCTCAGTATCCTCAACTGTAAAATGGAAATAATGAAAGCACCTACCTCCCAGGGATGTTGTGAGGATTAGATGAGGTATTTGTACAAAGTACTTATGGTTGGGTCAGACAATCTGCAGGGCCTGGTGGGACCCCCAGCTCCCCCATCCTGGCCTGTGCTTTCGACCAGGGCCGCAGGAGGGGGATGGCTTGGGACCCTCCTCCTTCCCCAGGCCCAGAGCACTCCTTACTAGGGCAGGGTGAAAAGGGTCCACTTCCTTTTTCACACGTGCGCGCGAACACACACACACACACACACACACACACACACACACACACACACACA